TACTAACTGGATGCAATACTGTAGTAAAAATGCTGAGAATTCCATTCTGTATCACATGTACTGTTTTGGAAAAAAGCGAATTATTATTATTATGGCTGTGAGACATAGTTATTGAAAGTGGAGGGTATGAAAAGGTTGGCTAGCTATCTTTGATCATAGGTGTCTGCGTTCTGTCTCCCATGTTAGGTGATATAGTAGGGTGATTAGTATTCAGGTTAGACGTGTTAAGTGTTAGATAAGAAGGGTGAGTCAATTGATAGGGTTGTGAAGAGCTACATCGTTTGAGATGGCTAGCATACAAGTTGTGCATGATGTCCCATGTGCCTACTTCGACGAGCCATGTCAACTGACATTGGTTTGGGTTGGAAGAGGGTTGGGAATTGTCGATCAGAGACCTGGTTTCAGTCTTTGAAATCTTTGATAATTGGTTTAAAGTAGGTATGGAGGTATCTGCATGATAATAAGAACCAATAGCTGGATACAATTGGTGATATTGCTCAAAATTGTTCTCAGTGTTGCGTGATCTGCATAATCTCTAATATCCACTAAACCATCATATTTTTCCTTGTTGCTATTTTACCTCCCTCGCATTTCTGAGTATCTTTTTTCCTCTATTTTTTCTGTTTTCCTTTGTGTGGTACATAGAGTGTGGCGAGTTGAACTGCTGCACTTGTGTGTGTGTAAAGTTCTGTGTTGAAATTCAGTCGGCTGACCAGGGAGTACTGGACAGCTGCTTCATCCTAGTTTGGGATTCTTCTACAGTGTGCACCGTTGGTCCCATATGTGATAGAGCCCAGGTACTAAAGGTTATGTGGTGGAAAGGTCATTGATCACTAGGACAGAATTCCAATGTCTATACACATCTCTCAGGGATTTGATTAGTAAACTAAAAGTAAAGGATCTTTTTTTATTCCTTTGCGTTCCCAGTGAAACACAGGGCTTCAAGGTAGAGGGGGGTGGTTGTTAGCCTCATACCCAACCTTCCCTCTCTACCATTCTTAATACTGGCTTAGAGACGTTTGGAGGTGTGTCGGCCGGGGTCCGAAGCCCGTGCGTGGTCGGTGAGTATTTTACCGTTGTGCCACCGACGCACAAAATTATAGGATAGACAAAAGAATTAAGTGGATTTGTTAACTTAATAGTGAGTTGAACTCAGTAAGTCAAAATCAGAATGAAAATTAAGTGGAATATTGTGCAACAGTACAAAAGACAGAAGGATACAAACCCGAAGAATTACGGTTACCAGGTTAGTTTGAGGTTGATCACGCTATCTTTCTGTATACAGAGGTTAGCTCGAAGTCTTTTGATAACAATAGCTTCTGCGAACCGAAGTAGCCGTGGTTTTCTTTGTGTAGTGATTATTTTGGAAGCCTAACTAATTTCCACTGTATGTCCCGTGTCAATTAGGTGTCTGATGATTGCATTTGAGAATACGTTGATGGCTTTCTACGGAAACTTTTAGGGATATGCTCGGAAAATCTAGTAGACGCTCTCCTCTCACTCCTTCTTATGTACTTGCTGATACAAGTGCAGGTTAATTGATAAATGCAGTTGGAGTTGACATGAGTAGGATACTTAATTGCTTTTGACTGGGTTAACGAGCATACTGTATTATAAAGTGGAATGAGTCTACCGGCAGGAAATGTTCTTTTCAATCCATTTTTATTTCTGTTTTCAGTCCTTATAGACACTTCTTTGCCCTTGTACGCTAGACAGATAAAAACTGGTTTCTTTTCAACTATTTCGGGTTTCGGTCTAGGTGCTTTTTCGTGGTTGGCTCAAACTAATTGCTAGAGATTTCATGCATTGGTTCCATGCTTTTGGTTTGACCACCACTAGTTCTTTTCAAACCCGTTCCTATGCCAGCTAACATTGACTATCGAGGAAGGCGATGGCTAGGCATGCGTAATGCTTCACAACTTTATCTACCTTCCTTAGCTAACACTCGATCCATCTAATAGTCGGAGTCGATCAAATACATCATAGTTGGACTTCAAAAAGTCCCTCTTCCTGTGGTAATATTAAAATTTGCGTTCCCGAATACATTTTACTGATTGTATATCGCTGTACTAAAGTGGGTGAAATGTGAAATAAATATGCCTTTTACTTTTTTACTGTAGTCCAGTAAACAAAATTCAGAGGCAGTCGACTTCAGTTTATACAAAAGTAGGGTGCAGCAGGTCGGGTGTGAGGACAAATACTCGCCGAAGACATTGGCTAGGGGTCGCGCTATGTCGTGAATTGGCAGAAGTTAGAATTCATGGGCTGGTCATTGGATCGGGTCCCAGTGGCTTAATGGTCTACGAGCTTGCCTTGTAACCAGAAGGTCCTGGGTTCGAATCCCGGTGGGTGCATACTACTAAAGAGTCTCAAACTAGCGTGAAACAGCTATCCAGTTGTCCCTGTAGGTTTTCCAATGGTTCTCTAACCAATGTCAGCTCATGATGAAATCCTGTAACCAATCAAATCCCTACAAACCAACACTTGAACATATAAAAGTAAATATTTTCATTGTTTTTTGGAATAAAGTGGTACCGAGTGCTCTCTCTCTGTCTATGTGGAGCATCTAACCATTAACTGAAAAACAAGTAATTTACTAAGTCGTTTACTGCTATCCCTTAAAATGTGCCTATTTGATACCGAATTTAATTTTGTTTATATATAATCTTGTTCACTGAACAGTTTGCGTAATAGATTAGGGAAAAATATAGTGTCTTCTTGTATGGCTTTCGACTAGCCATATGTACTAAACTGAGAGCGATACTACCCAGATGTCCAGGCTGAACAACACTTGGACCTGTTGTGACGCGTCGTCAGCAGCAAGCCAAAGGTGTCAGTGAAATAATAAAGCACCTTTAAAATTACTACCGCCTACACAAGTAATTGCACCAATCACAATTGGTGAATATTTTTCTGTGTTTTTGTTAACAATTACAAAATCAAATTTTCCTGTCAATCACTACAGCATTTCTTTAAATTATTCTGATCAATGACGATAGGAATTTAATGGGATTCGATCAATAATTGCTGCATAGTTTGAATGCTAATGCATTATTTGTACAAAGCAAAACTCCTCATCTCCAATCAGTTGGTTGATTTTCGCTTAGTAGGGAAAAATTAAAGACATGTAAATAGGCAGACATGTAAGCTGATTTTCGTGCTTGAATGGCTAGAAAAACAACATCAATGTTACATGTGATTGGAGACTAAGCTGATGATTGACGGTCTACATCAAATTCGTAGTCTATAACCGTGTATTAGACAAGATTAACACTTTCACGCGTACGTAAGGATGAATTAAATAGTTCGTGCCTTTAGAATATTATATATAGTGTCATCGTTTTTCATTCGAGTTCCACTCGAGCTCTGGCCTGGCACGCCATGTCACTCGATGGTCTTCTCAGTGTGTGTGTCCAATCCATTGATATAAGAATAAAACTTGGGCACAGTGGTAGAGTGTAATTCCATTATGGGTAAATTTTATTTTGATAGAGTCTCACAGTGTTATACAGTAATATTTACTGATATTTACTAATCAGTAAATATTACTGTATAACACTGTGAGACTCTATCAAAATAAAATTTACCCATAGTGTCCAATCCATCTTCATTTTTTTCGGCATATCTTTTGATTGATATGTTCTTAACCGGTTCGTTCTCAGAGTCTCTTGTTGATAATTATTTCTGGTCACTTGATCTTCAAAACAGAGCGAAGTTAGCTGTAGATAAAAGTTTGCATTGGTGTGCCGGAAATGTTTCTAGTCATGTACTAGCCAAGTTTCTGACCCATACCAAAGAACTGACTGATTTAGCATTGGTGTTGAAAATCAGAATTTTGTTCTTTTGTGCGGAGTGCAGAAGATTTCCACACTGATTTTGTGGTGAGAGCTGGCTGTTAACCAAATTGGCAGACAGTAATTCACGTCAATGCTTACGTCCCCAATATTGGTCTTGAGAAAAATAAGAACAAAGACTGATTCAAAAACCAACCACAGCATACTTTGCGTAGGTGGATACAATTTGCAGGTAGATAATCTGAACTTCAATAAACGGCCACAAAGAGATGAAAGATTAACGTTCAGCGAGAAACCACCAATCAGAAGACTGTTTGTTTGCTTACAATAATCTATAATAATGTACATGAAAATCTATAAACATGCTTTGATTTCCTTAATAAACGATCTGTTGCCTGGCCCTTGTCTTCTGTTGTTACAATTGCACAGTAATCAAGGTCTATCTCGCCCTTTCGATTCTGGTTTTGACGTCGTCATCTGTACTGTCTCCTATAGTTGAAACAATGCTGACTAGATGAGTGAAGTGAGTGACCTTCAAGTTTCGCTCGTTGATAGTGATTGGTGTTTGTTTTTGGTTGGTTGGTTGGTTATTTTCATCACGTCTATCCTTTTTTTGTTCCCTTGGAGTTCTGTCTTAACTGCTTCCTCTATCTGTTTGTTGACTTTCCCCGGTAAGTCTTCGAGTTCGTGTGACATTGGAGATAAATCATCCGCGAAATCCAGATCATCCAGAGCCTTTTTATCAGCCCAATGTATTCCTGGCTTCTCGCTTCTGACGCACAGTCTTCCACATAATCCAGTCCACCACAGTTAGGAATATCAGCGATGACAGTAGGCAGTCAGCCTTGTCTTACTCATATTTTCCCCTTCAAAGGTTCCAATGGGTTTTCCGTTTTGGATCACCAAACACCTGGTATAACCTCATACATGTAAGCTGATTCCAATCCAAACTATTTGAGACATTCTCATATACTAAATACCCAATAAATTTTCAGCATGCAGGTATGTGTCCCTAATGACCACCTATATTTGGAAAAAAATTGTCTGGATCGTATTTTGATTTTTCTTTCGGAATTTTTGATTGGTTTTTTGAAGGTCATATATTTGCTTCTTCCCATAAAATATTTCCATATTTCCCATTCTATTGAATGCTTATGATTCTTTCCATTTTTTTCTATTGATTTTTTGTTTTAATCAACATTTTAGGCGGTTATTAATTTCATAATATTTAATAATAATAATAATCATAATTATGGAAACAGAAGAATTGGAGAAGGAACTTATTCAATCGATGCGACCTAACTTAACAGAATTATTACGTATATGGAATTATGTTGGTAAGGCGTGTTTTTAAACTGTGTATAACTTCCTTTTCTTTTTAACAGTAAGCTAAAAGGAAACAGTCTTTATTTTTGCTTAGTATGTAAATATTTCTGCCAGTCGTGTAACAACATCCAAATTCTGAACATCCTTCATTTGTAACTGTGATCAGGATGAATGCCCTGAAATTAAAAGCCAGCAGTAGTCATTGGTTGGGGTTGAATGTGAAGCGGTTGCTTCTAATAGTGATATCGCTTACCGATAGGAGCATAAAAGTTACAATTCATAAGGTGTTGGACTAATATTTTTTTTTATTCCTTCACGTTCTCAATGGAACATAGGGCTTTAAGTTAGAGGTTTCTGTAGCAGTGTTTATTTTTACAGGATGGGGTTCCTAGCATCATGTCCAACCTTTCCTCTTCTCCAGCTTTTTTTTGATTACTGGCTTAGCGAGGTGAAGGAGTGCGTCGACCGGGGATCGAACTCTGGACTGTGTGCCTGGTCGGCGAGCGTCCTCACCGCTGTGCTACCGACGCACTTTGGGCTAATATACACAACTGTTAATCGTAAAAACATTCACAAGGTCTATCTATCTCACTACTTAGAAGCTTGTTATGTTTAAGTGAGAGGTAGAATTCTGGTCACTAGATTCAGCACTGATTATGATGTCTAGAAAGGCAATGAAAACTTTGTAAATGAATCACCAAGCGCATAGAATGCAACCACATCAAAAACATCCATCTTAGCTACAAGTCTTCTCCATTATTACAGAGTTCTGGTTAGTCGATGAGGGAGAGTGTGGGAGTGTTATGTGTAGGAAACAGTCGTTTAGTTCGATGAACGACGCTGGCTGAAATGTGACGAAAACAGAGCATCATTTGATGGATTCTTTGACTACTAGTTTGTACTATTTAAGGGAGGTATACGGGATCATTGAAATGCTGAGAACTATTAATCGTCAGTCAACTCAACAAAACGGGGTTATTTTGCGTGAAAATTCAACCAGCTAAAACATGTTTTCCAAGTGGGGGAGATTGTATTTACTAAGTTGAGAGAGAGAGAGAGTAGTGTATTGGTTTGTGTGTGTGTGTGTGTTCAGAGCATCCTGTTTAGCAGACCTAGAGAGTGGAAGACATGAAAAGGTTAGCTGTCTCTGATCACAGGTGCCTGCGTTCTACCTCCCGTTTGAAGTGGTATAGTAGGGTGACCAATATTGAGGTTATGCGTTGGTCGAGTGCTAGGTAAGGAGGGGAAATCAATCGATGAGGCTGTGAAGCTACATCGACTGAGTGAGATGGTAAGGACATGTGTTACGCATGCATCTCTAGCCATCGATCGCCTTCGTCGACTGACGGGCAATGATAGCTGACATAGGATGGGTCAGGTTGGAAAAGAGGTAGTGGTGGTCAAACCAAAACATGGCTTCATCAGTCAATAAAATCCACAACAGTTAGTTTAAGCCGGCCACGTAGGGAGATGTAGACTTGTTGGTTGGGGTTCTCGGGATGGTAAATCGGTGATATGGCTGAAAATCGTCCTCAATGGCTGGCGCAGATGCATCCACTCCTTGTGACTTATATTACCCAATAAAACTATATTGTCCTTCTATATTACTATTCTTTTTATCTGCTTTGCATTTCTTTCTACTTTCTTCTCTTGCTATGTGTGCTTCATGGAATGTGGCGAATCGAACTGATGCACATCAGTGCAAAGTTCTACGTTGAAAACAGACAGACAGAAAGACAGCAGACCTAGTGTGATTCAAAGCTTGTCTGTTGTTTGTTGTCATGTCACACTAGAAATTGTTAAATTCTAACTTTGAGATAGAATTTTATAACACTGAGAAAAATTATTATTATTATTATTATGCTAATGGCTTTATTCTGGACAAAATATTTACACAATGTCCAGAATTCTCAGAGTTATTTACTGCCTAATATTCTTTCTTTATCTACGATATGTTGAAGTGAAGTATCAATTTATAGTACATCATTTAACACAATGCTGTTGTAAGTGAAGCAGAGACTAATCCTTTATGGCCTATTTCCTTTGCCTCTGGGATATACGCACCAGTTACTTTGAAAAGCGATTAAAAGCGTGCCTAAATGAGTGTATTTCGCAACTCATAGGCATAACTGAATGTTTAAAACAATACAATACAAACTAGGGAAAATATGATACAATGTGTTTTATGGAAATTCAGGTGTCTCACTGATTCAAGCAGGCCGCCAATTTAGAAAAAAACAACTTATATAACTCAAGATGAATGTAACCACTTAGTGTCCACATATAATTTAATGAAATTCCCCGATTCTTTAAAACCGCGTCACTTTATTTACCATTTTTTTAATATTCAAACATGAACTTGGTTTATTATTGGAATCAAGAGATGCCCCATACAAAGCCAGATGGTTTGTGTGAAGACTAGGATACTGCCGGGATCACCAGACCAAAGGGGTCACCTCTGGAGCCTTTGACTTGTAGTCATTTCCACAAAGCAGTGGAGAAGCGTCAAGAGCTCTGTTCTCATAGATACCAGTGTCCGAAACAGGTCCATTTCAGCTTCCCCTAGGGTAGGTGGACTAGAATGTCCACCAGTTCGGTTGTAAGCGCCTGACGTTCTCATTCGCCTTTCCTTTTTTTGTATGAGGAACAGCCGTATTGCCTGAACGTGGTGAATACGATTTGAACAAAGGAAGAAGAAACACTGGCGCAGTTTTTTTAAATTGCTTTTCTGTGTTCTTTCGTCATGATTCTAGACTCTTGAATTGGTGAGCATAGGTACTGGTTAGAGATATCAACTAGTCTTGATTTGAACCAACCTTTCTTTTTCTCACTGACGGGATGTAAGTCGGTTAACTGGTTGAATAATTTCTCGAATTGGGCTTCTGTGTCTATTTTATTCACAAATTTTCTCGGTACATGGAACTTGAAACCGAGTGAAAGTGCCTTAATTTCAGTTTGATTTAGCTTTACACTTGACTGATTGATAACATATTTTTCGGGGTTTTCCGGGAAGCCTTCACATAATTGTTCTTTCACTAATGTCTTCGATAGGGTTATGAAGAAGTTTTCACTTGTTTTGTTTTGAAGATCTCGAATGAAATTTATGAATTTGACTGTGCATACGATGTTCAAATCATTGACAGTGTTTTCAAAAGAGCTAGCTTCTGTTTTCAGCTTCATAATCAGCCGTTTCGTCGATTCAATATTGGATTTTGTTAAGCGTCTGAGATTTTTCAAGGAAGGAGGAAGTTTACAAGGACGAAGGTTTTTAATAAACTGACGAGGCAAACAACAGGAGCGTAGACACTGATCATAAAATTTCAGTCGAGTAACTTCGCGTGATATTCTGCAGCGTAGGGTCACCAATTGATTCAGTGACTTGAATGAAGTAGCAGGTAGACGACTTTTCAAGAATTTCATACAATGATTCCCTTTTATAAATTTGAACAAAGAAAGAAGAAACATTGGCGCCAATGTTTCTTCTTTCTTTGTTCAAATTTATAAAAGGGAATCATTGTATGAATACGATTTACCTGGCCAGGGGCTATGAACCTAGTCATTCAAGGTATATTGAGAGCTTACATTCTCTTGTTTGTTTTATGAGATCTACTGGTTAGTATCACCTGTCTTCATCAAAAATAAGATCCGGATTTTCAACTACAATGTGAAGTCAGTGCTACTATACGGATGGATCAGAGACTTGCACTGCGCGTCATAAAGAGCATCTCAAACAAACTACAAACCTTCATTAACAGTTGTCTTCGCTCAATACTCAAGATCAGATGGCCAGCCGGCCAGAAAAGATCAGCAACAAGGATCTTTGGGAACGAACCAACTCAGCAGGAACCGATTGTGAAACAAATAGGCAGGAAGAAATGGAGATGGATTGGCTGGCCATACTCTGAGGAAACCATCAAGTGACATCACTAGACAAGCCATTGCTCGAGTGGAACTCGAAAAGGACGCGGCGAGTTGGTCGTCCAAGGGTGATTTGGAGAAGGTCATGTGAAGAGGAGATGAAAACGTGTGGGCAGACGTGGAGCCAGGTGAAGACTCTAGCAGAGAAGCGAATGCAATGGAGACGCACGGCTGAAGCCCTATGTTCCTCTAGGATTTAAAGGAAAATAATAATAATAAAAATCTATATATATATATATATATATATATGCAATTGTTAAATGTAATCAATGAACGTATACTTTTATTTACCCAATCCCCTAAATTAGGCTTCAATAAATTAGAACGTTCAGAGCGTATACAACAATTTGTCCAAAAATTACAAACAGTTCTATGTGAAGTAATTAAAGAAGAGAATTCAGCACGATTAGCTATGGAACAGAAAATTGAATTAAGACGTCGTGAAATAGCTGATATGTGTCAACAATTAGGCTTGGCACCATTTCTACCGGAACGTGGACTTACTTCAAGTGAATTGATGCGAGTATGTATTGAATTGAATTATCGGTTTATAATTTTTTTTAATTGTTATTGTTATTATTATTGTTGTTAGGACTGCCCTGCTAATTGATTTTTAGTGTTTGGAGAAAAAAACAACCAAACTCAGTTCATACTGTGTCCTTAATATCTATATATATATAATTATTAGGACATTTTTAGTATAAATGAAACATATTCAAATATTGTTTTTAATAATTAATTCACCTTTATTGAATTCAGTGTGTTAAACGTTTTGTTTTTCGGCTGCTCTGAAATCGATCATCATCGTTATTATTATTATTTTGTCATTAAAATATTGTGAACTCAGAGAATGTGTACGATTCAAGGCGTATTACACATACTGAAAAGAGAGTGTGTCAGTGTGGTAAAATGCATCCCAATCACACGGGCGGTTAGAGTTTTTTTTTAATTCTCGGCCGATGTGTTCTTAAACCTCGCCTAGTTGGTGGTAGTAGGATTGAGAAAGTGATAAGGTTGGATGTGGGGCCAGCAGCCCAACATCACTTCTACTGAAAATTGAATAATGATAATAATAGTTTTTTGTCTCGACAGTGTGTGTGTGTGTGTGTGAGCGAACCAACCAGTAACCGATTGTGTCCCACAAATATGCAGGAAGAAATGGAGGTGGATTGTTCACACTCTGAGGAAACCATTAAGTTTCAAGTATGGATTTTGTAGGGATTTTGTTTGATCGCATGGAGGATTTCATCATGAGCTGACATCAGTTAGAGAACCACTGGAAAACCTTGGAGTACTGGGCAGCTGTTTCGTCCTAGTTTGGGACTCTTCGTCAGTACGCACCATCGGGATTCGAACCCAGGACCTTCTGGTTACAAGGCGAGCTCGTAGACTATTGAGCCACTGGGACCCGATCCAATGGTCCTTGTATTCTAACTTCTGCCAATTCACGACATAGCTAGGACGAAATAGCTGTCCAGTACTCCCAGCAGGTTTTCCAGTGGTTCTCTAACTGATATCAGCTCATGATGAAATCCTCCATGCGAAACCATCAAGTGACATCACACGACAGACTATCGCTTGAGTGGAACCCGATTGGGAAGCAGCGAATTGGTCGTCAATGTGAGAGTGACATGGAGGAGCTCATGTGAAGAGGAGATGAAAGCATGTGGGCAGACGTAGGGCGAGGTGAAAACGTTAGCGGAAAACCAAACGCAATGAAGACGTGCGGCTGAAGCCCTAAATCTCCCTAGGAACTAAAGGGAACAATAATATTAATAGTGTGTTTATATAATGCACAGAATTTCCAGCAGAATTTATCGCATGATATTTTCTTTTCGTCCAAGATCTTCAGGAATAAAGTAGATCGTGTGACACAATGCTATCTGATGTGAAGCGTAGATCGATTCCTTATGGTATCCTCCTCTTCGTTTCTTTTAAGAAATACACGATATTCGGTTGAAAGCCGATTACTGTAAAATGTTCAGGCGTACATTTTGAAACCCAAGGAATATAAATCAGCAAAAGTTATCTTATAAATTGGGAATATGCTTTTTCTTAAGTTTAGTAGAAACTAGCTAACTAGCAGGTTTTAAATGTATGAGATGGTTGTAGGCTATCGGCCACAAGAAGCCCCGCTTGACCTGGGTTTCGTGCTAGCTGTCACTCGTCAGCTAGGCGTGTCTGCAAACTTGAAGCAACTCATGTCCCTTCTGAGATTCGAACCCGCGTCACCCAGTACTGCACTCATATTCGAAAATATTCAGTTATTCGAGTTCCTGACTAAACTCCTGTAGGACTAGTCAGTGACTAGTGTCCAATAAAAACACTTGTAAATGTTTATAAGACTCTGGCAAGTATTAGAGGTCATATTTAATTAGACTAAAACGAAGTGAGCAAGAAAAATCAGGTGCAATATAATGATGAGGGTGTGTGGTTCGGTAGCTGAAGCTGTATACAACTTGAAGTCTCATGTTTCACTCTGAACTCAAGGAGTAGTGAAAAATGCTGAAGAGAAATTGAAATATTACATTGAATTCCGCCTTTCTTGTATTTGAAGCGTATATAAAGACACTCTGTGTGTATACTGATCTTACGTCCACATGTATTTTTACTTAACACTGCGTAAATCGCGAGCAATCATGAATTTGATTGAAGTTAAATTCATTCAATAGTATGATGATGTATTGTTGGACCTGTTCAACAATTTGGTGCATAAACCTCCCGTGTAATGATGGTGATCTTATTGTTATCATGGCTGGTATTTTCTACAAATTATTAAAGCAATAACTATCCGACTGTAGAAGTGCATCAATACAGTAATTGTGTTATGGTGTGTACTATTTCTTGAAAAATACTGTTTGTCTATACGTATATATTTAACCTGTAAAGTCGTTGCGGTAGAAATTAAGGGAAAAAGAGGTGTAATACTATGAAGGGAATTAAATAAGCAACATGAAATAAAAGACAAAGTATCCAGAATTGCTATTTTATGATGGAGTGTTACTAGGGTTTCTAGAATGGCGCCTATAAACACAAAACCCTATAACCAACTGACCACTTGAAACTATTCCCGACTCTAAGATAAACACAAAAGTTAGTCAACTGCGATAAAAACGACGACGTTTTATCATCCAAATAAATGGTGTGTATTGTTTATAAAATCTCAGGAATTCAAACCAAAAATGAACACCAATCAATAACTGTCCAGTGACGTTATCATATCACTGCATGCATAAATGATGATTTTACATGAAACAAAGAAAGCTAGTCCACCCTCCCATTTTTTGTTACTTCTTGATTGCAGAAGATAATTTGTGCGTCTTTGTGCTCCGCCCTCCCCCAAAGAGTAGCATGGGATCATTGGTTGGTAACTGAACCGTCACGGTTTTACTCTTGTGATTTATTGCATGGTAAGAACCGTCGACCAAGAATCGAAGCATTATTTGGCAGCCCCTCACGGGGTTAATTGTGCATCGGTGGCACAGCGGTTAGGACTCTCTTCGACCATGCATATGGTCCGGGATTCGATCCCCTGCCGGCGCGCACCTGATATCAATGGTCGGTCTGGGCTACCGATATCACATGCTGAAAATTCCATACTTGTACCAAAAATCCTGTATGGTTTCAAGCTATAATCAGAAATCAAAAATTAAGCATGTCAACGATTCCTCGAGCTCATCTTTATCTTCTCCATATATGCTTCTTTGTTGAGTAGGACTTTGGCTACAGTTGCGATTTGAACGCTGTTTGCATTTGATGCTTCACTTTTTTTGACAAATCTTTTTTTTTGTCAAATAAAGAAAAAGTGCTTGCATGGTGAATTCTTTCTTTTCCTTTTAAGTAGGAGAAACTGGAGTAAAAATCTTTATACTTTATTTTTTTATTCCTTTACATCCCCAGTGGAACATAGGGCTTCAAGCTAGAGGCTTGAAGTTTCGGTAGCAGTGGTATTTCTTTTTACGGGATAGGGTTGTTAGCCTCATGCCCAACCTTCCCTCTTTACCAGTCGTGTTACTCGGTTTAGCGAGGCAAAGGAGTTCGTCTGTGGCCGGCGATCGAACCCCGGACCACCTGAGGCGTGGTTGGCGAGCATTCTACCGCTGTGCCACCGACGCACGAAGTGTTATCCACTAGCCTACAGAGCTCGTCTCTGAGTGAGTTTGTAGGTTTGAATGCCACCCTAATTCCTGCTTTATTAAGAATCCTACGTAGGGTCTCAGATGTCCCCTCCTTATATGTTATATCAGTAGATGACTTATATTCTCTCTTATTTGTGCTATCATTACTAGTTTCACAATTATTTTTATTTTGCTTATGGCCTTTTTCGATCTTCCTAATGAATTTTATGGGATATTCATTTAACACCAACGCCTCTTCTATCTGTTTCATTTCATCATTTATGTCTTTTCTTGTGCTACTTTGTGCTACTGCTCCGTTTGTTGGGCAGATCTATTTTCTGGAGACTTTTCCCTAGTGAACGGTATTTTTGAGAAGTCTAGAAATATGCAGGTGTTAGTTTGCAGAAATTTGACTGGTTGCAGGTTAGAGAACCACTGGAAACCAAGAATTACTGGATATCTGTTTCGTCCTTCATCAGTATGCGCGCATGATCCCACCGGGGACCGAACTCAACGACCGTCTCATCTGGAGGCGTGGCCTTTGACTAAGTATTCAGTCACTGGAACGAACGAAATCCAATGATCCGTTAATTTCTAAATTCTCTCAGCTTGCAGTATACATAATGCAACTACCGGCGGACAATGTTTAAATTGTGCCATCTCTTGTCAAGTATGAAATTTCGTTGAAAACAGCTAAGAAGAATATGTGCCTTAGTGGTATTGTATATCTGCAACCTGAGCAAAAACTAATCTTCCTCGTTTGTTGGCGTGATGGAAGTTGCCCAGATCATGATCATGTGCCGCCGGTCATTATCCAAATCATATGTACCTTGCACCGTTGATGTGTAAAGTGCTTCTCCTAAAATGGTCAGGATGCAGTGCCTGTACACTCGCTTTTTCAGTTGGAGCAGCGAATGCGGTAAACCTACTGAAGTGACATGTTTTCCAACTCTTGCTTATAAAATGTATTTTTGTTTCGAGGGGGATTGGATGAAACTATCTTTCCTCGTGAAAGCGTCGCATATCTGTATTATTGAATCTTTGTGTTTACTCTTCAAACAAGGCATATTCATCTGTGAGATGAGTGAAACTCTCGGTGACTGAAGGGAAATCTGCATCTTATCAACAGTTGAATTACGTAATCCTCCATCTACTTTGCTTGCAGGCAATATGGGTTATTCAGTTATATCAGTGAAATCGATGGGAATATCTGCTGTAGCGTCATTGGCTATGATGCCACCTTCCTTCCATGTATTCATCATTAGAACACTTAAATGTTACATAGTTAGTCGCTTGCACATGGATCACTACCACCATCAATTCATTATTCACTTCCACTGGTGCCTGTGGTTCATCTTGTGGTGCTACGCCACTAACATCTTCACCATCTCTTCCCACGTTTCAAGGATTTTCTGATTTTAATAAACTTGTCAACCTCTATCATTTACCATTGTTCGGTTTTTCACCACTGGAAAAACAACATTCCATATACATTTCATGTCAGGTGATACTTATATTTGTTTTGACTTCCGCATGTCAAAATCAATATTATTGATTTCAAATATAGGTTAACTATTATTATTATTATTACCGTGATCAGATTAGCTTGCCTGTTAAACCATTAATTAATTTTCTTATGCATTCACAGTAAATTGGGATTCATTGACCAGTGTCCTTGATTTTTACCAAATTCAATGGAAAATCTTGAGTACTAAGCACTGAACAGTGATGATGGCTTTCTTGTTGTGATATTATTTAAAGCTAGAATTTTGTGTACAAAAACAATTTGTACGATCTGTTTCGTTACCATGATCTTGATTTCACCTACATAATTCACATAACAACTTCGCTATCCTTCTTTATTATTCCGTGTTCCATTTTTGTTTCAATCTTTATATATTAAGGAAAATTAAAGCTTAGGTGTATTTTGGAGATGAATTTCTCTGTAGGTTAATTTTCAACTAGAATTCGTTAGAGGTCAGTTGTTTTTAAATATGACCTTGCTATTCTTGGCTATATCTGACAACATCTCAACCCACCAGTTCGAAGTATCCCTCAGACCTCAACCAGGGAGTCGTGATGTGCCAACTGATGCTACGTTAAAACAAATATCCTTCATCCGATGGCATTACGTCATAGACTGGTCACCTCTCCACCTTCTCCGTCCACTTTCAGGGTTAGCGACTGGTAGGAAAGCCTCTGGGATGAGTTCATAGCACATTTGATGATATTAGATGGTTGGAGGCAATCGGCCACAGGAAGCCTTGGACCTAGGTTTCGTGCTAGTTGGCACTCGTCATCAAGGCGTATCTGCAACCTTCAAGCAACTCCTGTCTCTTCTGAGATTCGAACTCGCATCACCCAGTGCCGCCTGCAGTCAGATATTTATTTTACCACTGAGCTCTTGCAGGACTGTTGTACCAACTAGCACGAAACCTAGGTCCAAGGCTTCCTGTGGCCGATTGCCTCCAACCATCTAATATCATCAAATCGATGTGCACCGTGATGCCGAACTACCTAGAATGGTGGCCACATTTCAAACCTAACTGATAGAATTCAGTCTGCACCAAAGAAAGGACTAGACACATCATACTAGTTACTCGTGTCCAATCAAAATATCATAGCACATTTCCAAGTCACTTGAGCTGGTCTCTTCAGATGACAACACTTGATCTTCACTGTGTTCAAACACATACTTAGAATTACTCATAAAATGATGTCGTTGGACGCAGAAAATTCTACGGAGGCAGTGACGACCGAATATTCAGAGTCGCCGCACGTCCTTAGCTTGGAGAGGCTACGTTTTACGGACTTATGATGAGACTGCGTTCATCGAAGCATTTTGGATATGACCTTTGACAGTCAGACTGGCGTCGCGATGGTGCCAGAGGTGGCTTAAATTGACATATGCCACCCTAGCTTTCAATATACGGTTACAGACCTCGACCACCACACTTCCGCTAAAATAAATCACGTAGTATGCAACAAAAATATTCTTTAATAATTACCTTTTCTGATGACTACTCAGTGTGCTGTTCCTTCAGGTTATGAGTATTTTTCATGTGTCTACTTTTCTTTAATCTCTCTCTCTCTCCCTTTTTTCTCCTTTTCTTTAAAGTCATTAAATGATAAAGCTGAAGAGCTTGTTCAACAGAAAAGTGCCCGTTGTGAGCGTTACTTTTGGTTAAGATCAAAAATATTACGATTGAATAATTTACTTGGTGACGGGGATCATCTGAGTGAGATTACAAAACAAAACCTTGACACCGATTTTCATACTACATTTCCACCAATTACTAAATTTACTAATCAATCAAATGGTATAGACCATAGTGACAGTAATACTGATGATGATAATAATAACAACAATAATTCTAGTGAACCAGAAAAATTTGATCCTTCAATAATTTGTAAGTTGTGTCCTTTTTATCTAATTTTCGTATGTATGTGTATGATATTGAGACTGTGATGACTTTCGAAAACTCTATATTGTTCCATGTAATATCCGAATATTGATCAAAAGACATGTGTAATGCGCAGACGTTCACCCGCCCCCCTTGTTTATGGTTGTGAGACATAATCACTGGAAGTGGAAGGTATGAAAAGGCTGAGTGTCTTTCATCATAGGTGTTTGCATTCATTCCCCCTTGTTAGGTCGTATAATAGGGTGAGTAATATTGAGGTTAAGCATTGAGGGCTAGTTAAGAAGGAAAAATCAGTCTGTGTAGTTGTGAAGCTATATCGATTACGATGGCTGTGACATGCGTTACGCATGCCTAGACATCACCTTCCTCGATGGGCAATGTCAACTAACACAATATTAGATTGGGAAATTTCTGGTGGTGGTCCAACAAAAACATGGAAGCAGCCTATGGTATCTCTAACAGTTAGTTTGAGCCAGCCACATAAGGAGGTGTAGACTGTCTGGTTGGGATCCTCGAGATGGTAAGAAGGAATGACGACTGGACACAATTGGTGATATGACTCAACATCGTTCTCAATGACTGGAGCAGATGCATTCACTCTGTATGCTACTATTCCTTCTTCTTCTTCTTCACATGTCTGCTCATAATTGTTCTTTTGAATCTCCTCTTCTTCTCTCTTTTGTTTCCAGTCGTGATACATGGAGTGTGGCGACTTGAACTGATTCACTTCAGTTCAAAGTTCTCTGTTGAAACCAGTCAGTCAGTCAGTCAGTGAATTAGTCTATATTGTTCTTCACATTTAGCGTTTTAGTGGCGATTCAAATTTTATCAAGGGTAAAAAAATTAGTTGAAGAATTATTGAAATCCAGAGAGCGCAGTAAACAGCTGGTTCGTCTCATTTTGGTACTCTTTGACAGTGTGGGTACATGATGACTCGCTTTTCAAATTGTTCACCATTCCGATTGTTCTGCATGCTATAAGTGGAGGCATGATGTAGACAAATTTCCAGGTCATTTTCATTGTTAATCATGATTTGAAGATCCTGTTGAAGGATTTAAATAGACAATGAAGCTGCCTTTCACCTTTAAAGTCAATTGTGATTTCCGCATCGATGGGTTGGACTGAAATGTTTGGTCTCTGTTGACATGTCGACTATGAGTACGGACGCTTTGACAATGTCTGAGGACTAACGTGAAGTTATTTTGATCGATGGTCACTAGCAGTGGAATCCAGTATGCTCATTTCATCGCATTTGTGTATCGTTAGCTGGATACACCCCCGCATTCCCACTGAGTGTGAGTGATGGTGAGACTCGAGCCCAGTACACATCAGTACACACAGACGCCGAGGAGTTATCCACTAGACCATTAAGGTGCAAGTGCATTGTTCTGCTAATCACTATTCCTCGAATTACTTATATGTGTATGTATAGTTATCCACGAAGAGATGAAGCATAGACGAAATCCAGGGAAGGTAGTCAAGTTAATCTAATTACCAAAGAAGAGAAACAAAGAAAACAATGGTTTAATCACTTCAAAATTTTCTTGAGTCGATCACCACCTTCAACTCTTCCAGAATTACCCGAACTGCCAGTGGACACCAGTCCCCCAAACAGAAGCAGAAGTCTTGGATATAATGATGCTACTGAAGGCTAATTGGGAAGGCAGCATGTCCAGATGGAATTCCTATTGATGCACTGAGAAAGAACCAAAAGACTACAGCGGATTTACTGACGCCACTATTGCAAAAGTTTTGGAAGGTAGGAAAGCTGCATACTGACCGGAGGATTGGCTACCAGGTAAAACTACCGAAGAAGGGAGACTTAGTTCTGTGCAAGAATTGGCTTGGAATCATGCTGTTATCCACGCCAAGTTAAGTATTAAGTTGCGTTACCCTGGAGCGCGAATAATGGATTCACTGGACGGAGTACTTCACGCGCCGGAACAAGCTAGATTCATGAAAAGCAAATGTTGTGTGGATCGAATTGCAACTCTACGCATCATCATCAAACAAAGCATAGAATCGCAGTCAAACCTCTGTCTCAAATACGTCGACTTTGAAACGGCCTTCGACAGCGTTGATTGCGAGGTAATCCGCAAACTATTTTAACACTATGGAGTGCAGTGACCGAGGTATTTATTAACCTCATTCAACAGCTATACAACTCTGGCATGTGTCAGGTGAAGTGAATATAAAAGTCAGACAAGACCTTCTATTATCACCGATGATATTGTTGATTGTGGTGAAGTGGATTATGAGGTGGCAGACTGTAGAGTGAGAGAAGACAGTAATACTTTGTATCCATAGAAAAACTCTAGAAGATGTGGATTTCGTGGAAAGTTTATATCTAATGTCACTTAAATTCTAAGACTAACAGTCGAAAAGCAACAAACTGATAGAGGAAGCAGTGAAGACAAGAATTCATGTGGGCATAGAGAAGACGGACGTGATTAAGGTAACCAATCAACAATAAGCACAAATCAATATCAATTGAGTAAATTCGAAAGAGGTCGCTTCCTTCAGTTATCTACGTGACATCGGGTCTAGTCTGAATGCGAAACGAAAAGTTTGGCTTGATTCCTACGGTGACACGAAGTAAGTTGTGTGAGGGAGAGATGATAACTTATGTGCAATTATTGAGCCAGCTAGAGAGAACTGCTATGAATCGACGTTAAGTCGGATAATATTTTTTTTCACAATAACAGAGAATATGTTTAAAGTGTATCCCACCAGTAAGTAACCAGTCAATTCTAAGGCTTTTTTAATTTGTTTTTACGAGTTTGACCACGGATTGATATCAGTTAGATAACCATTGAAAACCATTAGGGAGTACTTGACAGCTGTTTTATCCTAGTTTGGGAATCATTTACAGTACGCACCCACCACAGCGGGTTCGAACCCAGGACCTTCCGGTTACAAGGAAAGCTAATATACCATTCATTCACTGGGACCCGTTTCAATAACCAGTCCATGGATTCTAACTTCTACCAATTCGTGGTTTAACGCGAATGACACCAACCAATGTCATCGGTGGGACATCCATCGTCACGCTTGACTGGTTGAACCTCATTGTTCATGACTTCTCACTAGAACTCCAGGAAACTCCGTCCTGTAGCAAATCACCAGTGACCAGCAGATTAATTTCCAAGATTTGTTGTGTAAGGATTACATTGTTTAAATTACAAAACCCTGTGACTAGACTAAGTATCACTTTTATTGATTTCTGACCATGATACAGATCAGTCTAAATCGTCGATCATTCTTTTTTTCCTTATCATATGCATGATTATTGACTTTCAGTAGCTGATCAGAGTGTTTACGCCAGTGTTGTAATTTTTTTTTAAACTTTCTATTTTCCTCCTGATTATTGCGCATACTTTTGTTATATACTGTTTCATAAATATGATGTTTCACAATTAATCTGTTTTTGTTTTCGTTTCTTTTCATGATAAAAATAATTTGATTCAAAATTAGTAGTAGATAAGGATATCTTGATACATTGATCTAATATTTATTGATTTTTCAAATAAATCGATACTTCAATTAAACAATATATAGCCTTTTTCTAGATATTTTATATGCAGTAGGTGTTGTTTTTTTTGGTGCCGTATATTCATTCAAGGGTAGTTATATATGTGTGACAAAAAGTAAATGACGAATGAACAGTTGAGTAAACTCTTCAACCTGTAAATAGCCTTTTTCTCAGAAATTATTCGTCAGTAGACCTTGTCAGATGGTGTTTTTTTTTAGCTAAATCCCTCCAAATGACACAGACATGATTTTTTATACTTTTAGACTTGTATCATAGAAGGCAGTGAAGTTGAAACTAAGTTGAGTGTTAAATACCTTGGATTATTGTGTCTTTCCTCTAATCTTTCCTGATCTTTACACATCATGTTAATTTCTAGAAGGATATTTCGTCTATGTGAGGAAGTTACTCAGGGTACACTTTTATATTTACTTAATTCCTGTGTTTTATACCTATTCTTCTTTACTGTTCCCTCTTAATCTCCCTTGGGATACTTGAGACATACTTTGTTACATTACAGAGAGCACTAAAAGATGTGGGTAGGGAAATTGTGGGCTGGGGTGTTGTTAAATTAATTCTAGAACTCTTGTGCACAGACACTTTGACTCTTTCAATAAACTGACTCTAACCACTCTCTCTCTATACACAAGTCTATCAGCAAGCATCTTGTTGGGAATGGACTAGAAGCAATTATAAAAAACTTTAGTTTTGGGCGATTACTTTTTACATTCATACTGTTGGACTGACTGGCTGACTGGTTTCAACGTAGAACTTTGCACCGATGTGCACCAGTTCGAATCGCCACACTCCATTTGGCACACAAAGAAAGAGAAGAAAGTAAAAAGAAATGCAAAATAGAGACAGTAAAGAGAGATATGAGGCAAAAGGAATAGTAATAAGGAAGAACAATATAGTTTTATTGGAAAAATTGTAAGTCACAAGGAGTGGATGCATCTGTGCCATTGAGAACGATTTTGAGCCATATCACCAACTGTCTCCACCCGTTACCGTCCCGAGAAACCCAATCAGGAAGTCTACACCATGTTTTGGTTTGACCACCATTAGCTCTTTTCCAACATGATCCTATGTCAGCTAACATTGCCCGTCAGTCGACGAAGGCGATCGATGGCTAGAGATGCATAGCTGTTTTCGATTATAGGTGTCTGCGTCCTATCTTCCGCGTGAAGTGGTATAATAAGGTGAGCAATATTGAGGTGAGGCATCGGTCGAGTGCTAGGTAAGGAGGGGAAATCAATCGACGAGGCTGTGAAATTACATCGACTGAGATGGTTAGGACATGTGTTACGTATGCCTAGTCATCGCCTTCCTCGACTGACGGGCAATGTTATCTGATATAGGGCTAGGCTGGAAAAGAGCTAGCGGCGGTCAAACGAAAACATGGGACCAGTCAATGAAATCCACAACAGTTAGTTTAAGCCACGTAGGAAGGTGTAGACTGGCTTCTTGGTTGGGGTCCTCGGGACGGTAAAAACCAATGGTTGGAATCAATTGGTGATGTGGCTCAAAATCGTTCTCAGTGGTGCAGATGCATCCACTCCTTGTGACTTATGATTTCGAATGAAGCTGTTTTGTTCTTCGTTATTACTATTCCTTTGTCTCACACCTCTGTTTACTGTCTATATTATGCATTTATCCTTCTTTCTTCTCTTGCTTTGTGTGCTACAAGTAGGGAGTGTGGCGACTTGAACTGCCGCACATATGTGCAAATTTCTATGTCGAAAACCGACCGACCGACCGACACTGTTGTTTAAATTCACTCCAGGGTGTTTCAGTGACTGCAATGAAGAACTTTATTACATCTCTTGTTGACTGTGACTGACTAGACAATGAGAATTCACGTAAATGTATATCTCAATATAAGAATAAAACTTGGGCACTGTGGTAGAGTGTAATTCCATTATGGGTAAATTTTATTTTGATAAAGTCTCACAGTGTTATACAGTATATCTCAATATACCTCTATTCTATAATACATAATTTGTTTCTATTCTCATTTTGTTCACTTGTTCAGCGTCTATTCAAACATTACCAGATCAAGAAAGTATTGAAAAGTTAACAAAACTTCATGATGAATTAAATTCTGTGTATACACCATTAGCTGCTCAACATGCTGCACTTCGTGAAGATATAGCTCGTGTTGCTGCTGATATTCTCTACCAGCCACAATCAGATAAAGAAGTGGAAATATTAAAAATAGTTGGGTTAAAACATTTATGCAAAAATGGTAATGTCTGTTCTACGCCTGGTGTAGTTCGACGAGCTAGTGTTACACCAACACCGACGTCTACATCAAATGATGAAAATATTGATACAAGTACAAAATATTTAAACAGTGATGGTGTCTATGAACCGGTTGTAAATAAAGAAGTACTCAGAGTAAGTTGTAACACTTACATTCAATTGTTGTTCAGTTTCTACATTTTATGTGAATAATGCTCAGTTTCTTGAGTGTCATGTTGCTTGAAACACATGTCTTCTACGTAAATTAAATGTTACAGAAAAAAGAAACAGAAAGGTTCTTACAACTAGGGAAAACATTTTCTTCTTTTCTATTAACCTGTATATTCGTGGATAAATAACAGGGGTGGGAGTTGAGAAATGCAGCTGTTTAAGAGCTTATGAGGAGCTGTCAATTGAAGTGATACCCATACTGTCCCTTAATATGTTTAATTCTATCAAATGAAGAACTAACATATGTAACTGGAATCGACCACAGGGCCATAGCCACTGAGTTATTACCAGTGTGAACAGTCTTATGAGCTTAGGGTATGCAGGTGAAATTGTCCCACTAGGCAATGATCCTGACAAAATGTACAGTCTTCTGAATACCTTGTGCAGAAATCTTCGAAAGTTTAACATGAGATTAGCTCCTGTGAAATAATGCTGCTCCAATGAACTCTGTGCACAGTTCTATATGTTTGCTGTCAATCATTAAGTGTACAAAATATGTGCATACTATTAAGTGATGGGGTACATTGACTTATGCACTCGACTTTCATTCAACGAGTTCCGAGGTCGAATCCCGCTCCACCTACCTCGGCCTGAGCAGCTGAGTAGCACCATTAGCTCAACCACACACATACACACACAGTATATATGGCTTATAGCACAGTACTGGGTAATTGAGATTATTATTATTATTAATTAATTAATTATTAGTATCATCGTCAAACAAAGTATTCGTTTAGCATTGATTTATCTCTTTTTCTAATTATTTCATCAGTTATGATTCATGTAGTGTTATAAACTAAAAAGCAGATCAAACTGTTTTGAATGGTTTCTCTTCTTTGCTAAGGAAATCTCATCGTTCTCTCTCTCACTCTCTCCCTCCATCAAATATCCAATCCCTTTTGTGTCGGTATTTCACAAAAAGAAATAAGCAATCCGTTTAGGTGCTATGTGGCTGTATGTGTGTGAGAGTGTGTGAAAGTGCTTCAAGCGACAAAAAAACAACAACAGTCATTGACCTCACTTTTTATAAGTGTATCTATCTGTGTTGATAAACACAACATAATGTTATGTACGAAAGTTTTTTAGAGGATGGTGTACTGCAGGCAAAAGTATCTTTCATGTTATACACAAGAAATGAGATCGGTCATGTATTCTCATTTATTTATTTGCTTTATTTGCTTCAATTGAATTCCTTGGCGTTCCCAATGGGACGTACGGCTTCAAGTTGGGGCTTTGAATTCGCAATCTTTATTCCCCGATACTCATTTAAAATAACACGATTTAATGAATTCGTCAAATATCGATAGAACTTTTAAACTGGATACACTCAACGTGTAGGGATTCCCAGTTGAAAAACACCTAAACGTCGTTTAGCCGGTAGTTAAACTCTGGCGAAATGAACTTTGTTAAATATGCGGATGATCTAACTACTTCAATGTCTGTTAACTCCCAGTTAGACTGCACTAAGATGAACAGCTTTCTATCAGGAATTAGCCAATGGTCTTCGTCTAATGGTCTTAAACTGAATCCTTCTAAGTATCAGATTGTTAATTTAAGTTTCCGATGTAAAAGAAAGTTAAATGAAGTTGTTGGTTCCTATGACCGTTTCAAAATTGATGATAGTGGTGCGGAAATCAAGTCTGAAGTTACGTATCATGGATTAATTCTTTCTTCTGACCTAGCCTGGTCTTCCGATGTTTTAGCGATTTCTAAAAGAATATTTTGTCTAAAAATCAGGCATAACCCAACCCCTCCTCTTACAGTTTTTCAACTCGTGCATCTTACCTATTCCTTTTTACTGTTCACCATTATTCTTTCCTGGATTGCTAAATAAGGACTATGTCATACTTCGTAGAACTCTGAAGACTGTCAGTAGGTTGAGTGGTATCCCATTGGGCCATATCGTTGACATCGTCATTGATGATGGGCATTTGATGTCATGCAACAAATTTGCTAAGGGATTTCGTCAGACTGTGAGCATCCACTTTACAAGCAGCTCCAATTTTGTGTCTCCTCAGGTAAAACAAGAAGTCTTTTCAGAAGACTTTATGCAAGTACGTCTAAGTATAAAAATTCCACTATACCATATTTGGCACGTACTTTATTTGATGAAAACAGTGTTAGACATGAACTAACTAACGTTCTTTGTACTATTAAATAAACCATTTCCTCCACCCGTACAACATCAACCTTTATTGTTACTGTACTTCTTATATTTATAATCCCCTCAAATTTTTGTTTTCATTTGTTTATTTTTTCATAAGTGTGAACATCATTTAAGCTGTGTTATAACTGTTGATTTAGTATTTCCCCTCACCATACTATATTAACAGAACATTAGATCCAATAATCTATAACATGCTGAAATTTCCAAAATGAATCCATAATACTGTTAGAAACGAACTCACTGTTATTATTATTTTTATTCTCAATTCGTGCTTCGAATATTTTTGACTTTATATCGTAAATGTGCACAAATTCCTCTGGTCAATTTTATTCATATTTTTAATTTTATTTATATTTTGAGTAAATCAGATGCAAGGTGTTGTGACAAATGCTGAGAATTCCATTCTGTATTATAAGCATTGTTTATGGAATAAAGTAGATCATTATTATTATTATTATTAAGAGGGAAGTTTGGACGTGAAGCTGGCAATCTTATCCCGTATAAAAGACCACCACTTCTACTGATACTTCAAAGTTCTAGTTTGAAGCCGCATGGTCCATTGGGAACGCCAAGGAGTTAGATAAAAGCAAATAAATAAATAAATAAATGAGAATACATGACCGATCTCATTTCTTGTGTATAATATGAAAGATAGTTTTACCTGTAGTGCACCATTCTCTAAAAACAAACTTTCGTACATAACATTATATTGTGTTTATCAACACACAGATAGATACACTTATAAAAAGTGAGGTCACTGGCTGTTGTTGTTTTTTTGTCGCTTGAAGCACTTTCACACACTCTCACACACATACAGCCACATAGCACCTAAACGGATTGCTTATTTCTTTTTGTGAAATACCGACTCAAAAGGGATTGGATATTTGATGGAGAGAGAGAGAGAGAACACTGAGGTCTCTTTAGCAAAGGAGAGAAACCATTCAAGACAGTTTGATTTGCTTTTTAGTTTATAACACTAGATGGGTTATAACTGAATCGTGTAATGTATTTGCTCGCACAACACATGTCGAACAATCTGATCACACCCACGGACTTGTCATAGGAATATATATGAAATTGAATATTCCCATAATTTATTCAGAACATTGTTCCATCCCATCTTATACTTGTTCCACAATACACTTTCTGATATGATTCTAATTTGCCTTTACTGGCTATTTTATGCTTAAATTAATGGATTTATAACTGTAGAGCCTGAAGAAGAATTTATTGAAAACAATTGTTCGCTCTAAATATTTTGTTCTGTATATATGAAATTAATAAAGAGTTAATAGGCGAGAAAATAAACTACTTAGGTCAAGTTAAAAGGACATATTGAAGGCAAAAATAACAATGAAGACCACCAAACCAAATAGCAGAGGTAATAGTACAACTGCTATGGTATCAAAACAAAGTTTACCAAGGAAGGTTTAGTGTGATGACAAATTGTTTTAGAATGCATAAAGGTAGTTTAAACTTCCGAATTGCTAGGGCTTCCACAAACGTTAGGATATGCCCCAAAAATGTTTTATAGATAGATTTAAAAGACGTATAAACATTGATTTTATGTTCTGTCTCTATAATATGTTTGGCAATGGAGGAGCTAGGTCGCCTGTTCACACCATTAATGGGTTCTGAAGATTCTATTTATTTCTGCAACCATTCGAGAATATGCTCTGAAACCAGCCCTTACTTGGAGAGATCGATGAGTCCTCACCATGTATGTGTGTCCACACGTACATTCAAACTGGTAAATACATTGGGATGTGACATCATATTTTGCATGTTCAGAGGGCTTAGATAGATATATTGGCTTCACATTCTCAATTATTATGATATTGGCTGAATAGAAAGTCTTTTTTTAATAGCAGCGTTCAATTTTTGTCTAGTTATCAAGTTGATGATGATGCTTCATATAGGGTAGCTTTGACTAAATTCATAAACGGAACTAATTGTTTTAAATAATAACTGATAAAATAACTAGAATTCTCAATATGGTGGTAATTTGTTTTCTGTCTCTTTTCTTTCAAAGCACCATTTTACGAATGTGTTGATGTTTAAGGCGAAACTCGATGGTATCTCACCACCTAACTAAATAACTAACTAATTAACTAGATTCGTCATAGGAAGTTATTTACTGGTATGGTGGTGATGGAACCTAAACGTCTTTTTAGTTCTATATCACAGCAATTTAGCAAAATGTATGGACAGTTGTTGAATAGGCTCTTTAGTTTCCTTTGGGTTTTCACACAGCTTGAAGGTTTTTTAAAATCTCTCTTCCACACATTTATTGTGTGGCGGCTAGTCTGTGATTTAACTAGTTGATTTGATTATCTGATGAATTTGTTGGGTTGTTGTATTTGACCAAACTAGCGTACACGTATATCAGTTAGAGAACCATTGAAAACCAGGGGGTACTGGACAGCTGCTGTTTCATCCTAGTTTGGGAATCATCGGTAGTACGCACCCACCACAGCGGGTTAGAACCCAGGACCTTCCGGTTACAAGGAAAGTTCGTATGCCATTCAGCCACTGGGACCCGATTCAATGGCTCGTGATTTCTAACTTCTATCAATTCGTGATTTAGTGCGACCCCAACCATTGTCGTTGGTGGGACATCCATCCACACACATGACATCTAATTGGACCTCACTGGTCGCGCTAAATCACGAATTGGTAGAAGTTAGAATTCACGAGCCATTGAATCGGGTCCCAGTGGCTGAATGGCATACGAACTTTCCTTGTAACCGGAAGGTCC